AAAGAAAAGAAAAGAAAAGAAAAGAAAAGAAAAGAAAAGAAAAGAAAAGAAAAGAAAGAAAAAGAAATAAATCCCGGCTCAGTCAGCTCTAATGAACACCTAATGGCTAACAGCTCCGGAGATTTATTTTGTGAATGCTTCCAAAGTTGGCTGAGGTCTTTAACCACTAAGCTGCCAGGAAAAGTATATCCTTATGAAGTATTAGTAGAATAACTGACCAGTGTTCGAGAATCATGAATGTGGCCTTTTGACTTCCCAAATTATATGAGGATATTTTCTTTGACCTTCGCTTATTACAGATCGGTAACAACCACACTGCTTTGTTCGGGCAGCTCGGGACACATGGCACCGCATGCTTTTGCGGAAACACATCCCACATTAAATTAAGTTAGAGGTGGTATTTGAAAAATAAATAAATAACGAAGTTCCAACTCACTGCAAATGATACAGGAGACCAGTAAGTGAGAAGCCTGCAGGAGAACGACTTCTTTTAGAAAGATGTTTTACAGGAGTTTTTCTGCATCATTAACTCTTCTGGAATCCTGAACATAACATGATGAATTTCCCTAAAAAGTAGCTACTGTTTAATTTTGAATCACTTCAAAGAGCCACAGCAGAAGGAATCAAAGAAAACTAAAAGACCAGTAGATGCAAAATTTGCCAAGAGAGAGAGAAAAAAAAAAATGTCATGAAGTTTCTAACAGATTTTAAGCATGTACTCAAAATGCCACTGATTATTTTGCTAATACAGTGTTTTACTGTTTCGTACCACTGAAATAGGTCTCTGTATTCATCAGAACACAGGATATTTTTATTACAATACTTGTGTCATAGCTCTTAAAAAAGGAACATACTCAAAAACCTTGAAAAGAATCTCTGTCTGAAAAATGATTCCTGGGGTGTATATGTATGTGTGTTTTACTATAAACAGATACTTAAATTAGAGGTCGTTTATTTCTGCAACGAGTTACTACATGCAGATACTTCTGCTTGCAGAAGAAAATGCAATTTCACAAAAGCAAAGAAATATGAAGTACATAAAGGACAGGAAAGTTGGCTGGACTACCATAATGGTTGTTTAACCTCAATTAATAACAATAGCTGGCCTTTTAAAACAAACAAAAAAAAAATTGCTTAAAATCTGCCCAAGGGAAAAGAAAGAAAACCTCCTTAAAATTTCATATCCCCAAATACCACTACATCAAAAACCATCTGGAAAATGTCAGATAATGGTATCCACCCACCTAAAAAATTCAGTGAAGTTAGCATTTAGAATAATCAACTAAAATTGAAATTTCTATTGGAATACACTCTGAAAACAAAGGAATCAGCTTTTACAAGTCTCCTTAAAAAGGACCATGTGTTGACAAATACCCTGGGCACACTCCACCTAGTCTTTGATTACCACTGTAAGTTCACAGCAGAAGCAGAGCTGAATTTAAAGACATACATGCAGCTACTACGAAGTCGAGTTACCACATATATGTTCGGCGCTCGGCTCAAATTTCCCTTGTTATGTAAGCACTTAGGGGCAATAAAATTTCACTTATGTTCGGCAGCTTTGTGAGTCTCAGAACAACAGTCTATCCAACTAGACAGCCCTTTTACTGCCAGTGGACGGCACTGGTGTTTTATTTCTGTGCAACACATTGTCGATACTGTATAGGGAAGCCACGCAGGGGACTTTATTACCCCACCACATTTTACTACAGATATTAAATAATATTATCCTCACTGAACTCAGTATTAAAAAACTAACTTAGGAAAATTGAAATATTCAAAAAGAACCAAGAGGCTGATTGGGATTTCCCCTCAGATTGTCTGCAGACTGAAAAGAAGGAAGAAAAACAGTAAGTATTCACTTCTCACAGATAGGGGTCACTAATGGGCTGAATTTGAAGCACTGTGGCAGAAACCACAAAGTTATTAAAGCAATCTAGTGAAAAATGAACTTCAAATTAAAGATACCAAATGATGATTATCCTGACACATGTGACCCGAACAGAAGTAATATCTCCTCACCTTGACCTTTCTTGAGGCCTGTAAACAGAAAGTTGACCCAAAAGGCAACAGTTCTGCTGCAGAGGTACAGTTTTGGTTGCTATTTTCCAACTTCTGATGCTGTTGATCACAGAAGTAGCAATTTTTTTTCTCCCAAAGTACAGACCAGAAAAGTCAAACTAAATGAGATGCCCACAGTGAGCCTCTATAGAATGAGGATTCTGAACTTGCAGAACCATCCAGCCTTCCTTGAAACCACAACTGCAAATAGAGAGAATACAAGAATGCTTTAGGGAGATCCATCTAAATCCTAAATCAAACTCTTCTGCAGGACAGAATATAAATGTAACGGGGCATCAGAGAAGGTTCAAATTAGATCCAGCTGGTCAAAGTCAAACCCGGATAAGATCACATCATCTGAAACTTAGCATACAGGAAAAGCCATGACTGCCTTGGGGACACCAGGATGGCCCAGTATGAAATCATTTGGAATCTGCTTTCTTTGGTTAAAAGCATCCCCTAAAATTTAAAACACTGCAGTGAAACTACTGGAGTGTTGAGACACAGGCATTAAAAAAAAATACCATACTGGCATTCTTTCCATGCTAGGCTTGTAATAGGTTCTGCTACAGTGCAGCTGGTCCAATTCTTTTTACAATTCCATGTACTTACTGGCAGAGACATGGGAAAATGCTTGAAATCTCATCTTCCACCTCCTCCAGTCCCAGGTATTTGCAACCCCACATGTCAATATGGTGTTGGACTGTCATCTGTGATTATAAACATTTCTTAAATGGTTTAACTCTCTCTTGCTTCAGGATTTGAGGAGGGGAGGGAAAAAAGTTGTTCTTTCAAGAGCAAGAGGATTGTGCGGAAATAAGCAACTTTCTGATTATTTGTATTATCCAAAGACTGATTGTGTTCTAATATGTTGTGGCCTGCTGATCCTGTGTATCTGGCATATGTTGCTTCATGATTTAATAATAATAATAACCCAGTTCTAATATTTCACATACTGACCTAAAATTTTACATACCTATTGCAGTCATTCAGTGTATCCCTGGAGAAATGGCAGCCTGCATTCTATTTACCTCAAATGTTTTGGGAATGGTTTCACTGGAGATTTCATAAGGTCATAGGAGTTAAGCCCACAGACAATCTAGGTCCTGACATGGAAGCAAGCTTTCACACTAGCTTTTGGCTGGGAGAAGTTAGATATAATAAATTCAGCAATAAGCCTGTGAGCTAGTGGACATGCTCCAAAGCACCCTGAAGCCCTGCGTGATTAAAGAGCCTCCCAGCCGAATGGGGAGCAATAGCTCCCATTTAGAAGAGGCTTTGCATAGCAAATGCAGCATGTAAAGAAATCTAATCAGCACCTTGCACTCCTGCGCGAGCATTTACACGGATTTGTGCCTTGCACTTACTTGATTAGCGTACTATAAGCTTTACAAAGCGATCCCCTCCATTAAAATTAATCAAAAGCTCTTGGAAACTGTTCTCCATTCACAGAAGAAGGCTTGATGACTTTCAGGTGAATTAATCATGAACATCATAATAAAGGCGAAAGCAGCTGTGAAGAAACTCACAACTCTGCAGGGGCTTGAGGGGACACGGGGGAGTTGGGGCTAGAATCCTGTCGCTCCAGCAGTGAGCAGCAGCTATTTTCTTAGCCTAAGGAAGGCTGCTGTGGGGCAAACGTGACCGTCTTCTCTCTAGTGTCCCCAGTCAGTACACCCAGGAGGCCACTCACTTCCAGAGCTGAGCTGCAGAGGTGGCCGTCTCTACCACGGTGTGTGTCGGGGGTACATGCCCGCAACACCCTCTCGCTGCCCCCCCCACGTGATCATCAGTAGAAATTCACAGCAAGGACTAATATGCTTCACGCCGTCCCTCAATGAAAATGGGACTTCTGAAGTTCCTATTTTATGACGCCAGAAGGTGACCGGAGAGGACTCAGGATATCAAAAGGAATATATATATATATATATATATATATATATATATATATATCCCTTGTTTGCAATTTTCACCCTCCTTCCTAAAGGTGCGATCACGAGCCAGCTAAAGGAGACGGACAAATGAAAGGAGGCTCTAATCACTTTTGTAAAAGAAGCTAAATGGGGAGAGGGTGGAATCCTTCAACCATTGCCCGCATCGCGGCAAGCTACAAGCCCCGGGGTTCACATTCCAAATTTCCCAAGAGGCGAACTAGATGGGGCACCAGCTGGCGCCTCGGACTGGCACCCACTTCTGCGGGGGCTTCGCCTCCCCGCGCAGCTGGAGACCCGGCTCGGAGCGCCCCTGCTAATACCGTCAGAGAAGCGCCCGCGCCAGGTATCCATTCTCGGCATCTCGAACTTCGCTTCCTGATTACTTCCAGCCAAACCTTGGCGAGTGCTGGAGAAAAGGAGGCTCCCGAGGGAGCGCAGCCCAGCAGAGGGCCGGGGAGGGAGGCTGCTCAGGGCGCGCATTACCTGCGAAGGTGGTTGCGGTCTCCTTCCGGCCCGGACGATGATCCCGCGCGGCGCGGCGCCCTCCCCGAGATCCAAACTTTTGCTCTGTCCTCCGGGCGGCGGCGGCGGCGGCTGCAGGAGCCAAGCCCGGTCGCCCGCAGCGTCGGGGCGCGGGGGATCCGAGGCCGGAGCTTCCGAGCGGCGCGCGTCTCCCCGGAGCCCGCGGGCGCCTGGGCGCCCCGCTCGCCTCGCTGGATCTCGCCTACGTCCCCTACGGAGCCGCGGCTTCATCTTCCCCCGAGCTCGGCCACCTCCGCCTCCAGGGCTCCGGCATGCCACTTTTTCTCGGCTCCGGCCGCGACTGCTCCGCCTCCGCGCTTCCTCTGCCTCCCGCTCTGCGGACCCCAAAAGAAGTAGGGCGAGCGGGGAAGGCGACAGAGAGCGGCACCTCGGCGCGCGGCTCCCCGGCTCCCGCAGGCTGTGGACCCCGGGGACGCGGAGAGCGAGGCGGGGCTGCTCAGGCTCGGCTCGGACCCGCGGAACCGGCGGGCGCGGGGGTCCGAGTGCTGCGCCCTCCCGCCACCGGGCCAGAGGCTGCTCCAAGCCACTGCCGCCTCGGCCGCCGCGGCCTGGCTAATGTAGGCGCCGAGGTCCCGCCCCCGCCCTCCCGGCACCCCCGGGAGATGTTTACAGTAATGAATTCGCGGGTTCGCCTCCGCGGCTCCCGCGCTCCTCCTCTCAGTCCGTCCGTCCCCGGCGCTCTGGCGCGCTCCTCTGCCGAGCCTCTTTCTCTCCCAGCCTCCCGCCTCCCTCCCTCCCCGCCTCCCTCCCTTGCCGAGGAGTCCCTCCCACTTTTCTGGTTTAAAGAATGCTTGGGAGGAGCGGGTGAAACCCTCGGCTTTCCAAGAGGCAAAGTCAGACTGAGCTTTTAACCCTGTGCGCCTGCGAGAGGAGCGCAGAGCTCCAGGCCCCCTGCGGGGGCCACCTCGGCCGCCCGCTCAGTCCCCGGCGACACAGGCCCTCCCGCCCCCTGCGCCGGGGGATCAGGCCACCCTCTGAACCATGAAAGGCGATTTCCCCCGCGTATTTTTAATGCCGTACTTCCAGGCAGGAGGATCAATTACTTAGACTCTGAGCAGTGATCGAAATGTGAGATTAGAGGTTAAAAATATAGCGAGGCTTCAACCAAAATGGCGTTATTTCCAAAGCAGACAACCTTGGGGAGATGGCTCACCCCCGCCGCCCGCTAGGTTCCCTCACCCCAGACCCGTTTCTTAAACTTTAATCAGGCATATAATCCACAGTTTTATACGATAATTTTAAACACTGCCACTTTCTCTTCTCGCCCTGGCTACTGCTTCGAAAGCGCGCAGTTGTACGGCCCGGTAATTCGCAATGGACAATCAAACATTCTGTTCTAAAGATCTAGAAAACTGGCTGGACAGCTAAAGGCGCCCAAGGTTTCCGCTGCACCCTCTCTTCGCAAAGGTTAAATCTAAGGAAACCTGGGGGAGGTCTCTTTCTTGGGGGCAGAGTCTGGATCGCACCCCGTTTCCTCGTGCGCGCCCAGCCTTCAGTAAATCGCTGTCGTGTTTTAACACGTCCGGAGAGAGGCTGAATCTGAACGGAAGAGGGAGAAAGAGCCCGCGCTGAGCTGCAGGCTGCGCCCAGACGCGCTCCCCGTGTGGCCTCGCAACCCTAAGTTTGAAAGCAGCCCAAGATGAGCGCCCCTGGGATCGCTTTCGGGCAAGACGAGCCGGGCTGGGGCGGTGCCTGCGACTGGCTGGGAACGATTTGCGGACGCGCCCCTGGAGCGACCGCAGTCCTGGTCCTCAGTTCAAACCTTCAGTCACTTGGCACCGCTTCCGCGATTGTTTTTATTTCCTGCGCATCCCTGCCGTCTCTAGCGCTTTCATGCATTCAAGCGCCTACGTCAATTGAAAACGACCTGGAGAAACGCCCGATTCGTCTCCCAACCCACGCACGGATCCACTAGCCGCGCGTTGACACACGCGCTCACACGCGCACACACTCGAACTCAGGAGCGCGCCCCGCCAGAATTCCATGGCTCAGACATCGCCTGTCATGCCCCAAACTTCAAACTGGGTGTCATGATAAACCCCAGGGAAGGAGGGGGCGCGGATGAGTGCGCCGACCGGGGGGAGGAGCAGGCCGTGAGTGCCATCTTGCTGGGAGGTTCCGGGAGCAAAGTGCCCGCGGTGCCCGCAGCGGGGCCTCGGCCTTCACCAGCCACAGCCGCTGGCCGCAGCCCCCGTTGTCCCAGGTTTCCCAGGCATCGCTCTAGCCCACCCTACTGAGCTCTACCCTGGTGCTTTCTTTCCCCTGACTAGTGCCAGGTTCTCGACCTCACAGCTAGATCTCGGGTCTGATTTGGAAAGAGAAGTGACCGCGCCGGCGCCAAGAGCGAGGGTGAGCTCCACTGGTCAGTGGGGCGGAAGGATCCCTCGAGGAGGCTCAGAACCCCAGCTGGGACGCGGTGGCGGCTCCAGGCCTTGCTTCACACACATCCCCCCTCCCCCGCGGGCGGCTCTGGGTCCCTGCGCCCCACTCCGGCTCCCGGGGGCGTTTCCCGCCGCCCCCCTCGTCCCACGCGCGCGGCGCGGGGCAAGCTGTCCAGGTTCTGCTCCCCGAGCTCAGCACGCATTGGCCGCCCCTTCAGCGTCCTGGCAAGGCGTGAGGACCCCAGCTCGGAGACCGCCAGTCCCCAAGCAGCAGTGGGGCTGAGGAACTTGGTTCTAGAACCACCCTCCCCCAACTCGAAGGAAAATAAATTAGCATCCACTCCATCTTCTCAGCCGCTAAACTATCCGGGATTGCGGGCAGGGGTCGGGCTGGTGGCTTTAGATATAACCGCTTGATAACGCTGGTGGCATTAAAAGCAGATGAGGAAGGAAGGTTGTTACTCTTGGAAGTTCCGAGATTTATTCTGGGAAAATGGGTGACTAGACTCCCTCAAGCCTAGGGCTTCTAGAAACGCCCGATTGAGATCGATGCGCGTAGCTGGCAAGCTGATTTGCGATATGACCCAAAGCTCACTTCCAAAACTCCTTAGAGAAAGTGAATTAAACATGCAAAGAAACGTCCCTAAAATCAGGGTGCCTCTGAGAAGCCTATTCTCTTCTGAGGTTTAGAGACAAAGCCCAGAACACCCCTGCCCAGGAGCCACCCCCACTGGTTCAGACTCCCCCTCAAGGAGGCGGCGTGGTGCCCACGCAGCGGCACTTAGAGCAGTTACTGGAAACTTCTGCCACCGCAGTCCTTTACCTGGCGGCCGCGTCTCCTCACAATGGGCTCATCCGAATCCGACAGGGTCGGGGAGGTGGAAAGGGAAGAAGCTGGCTCGGCCGCAGTGGGGCTCCCGGGGCATGGTATTGTTTTAGGGGTCGCCGCCAAGGTCCGTCCTGCCCATCGTTGACAACTGCCACCCTGGTCCTGGGGTTTGGTGGACCAGACGGAGCTGCCGCCTCGCCGCTGCTGGACGCTCGCTGTGAGTCCAAGAGGCGCACCCGGCGCAGGGCCAAATCCGTGGTTTGGCGTGGAGGAGACGGAGATTGCGGGCACTGATGTTATCTCCAAGCGCTCCTTCCTCCGCTGTGATAACGCATGACACCGAACGCGCAAGAGAAGGCGACAGGTTTCCAACGTACAACTAACTAGAAGGTACCGTGCTTGAGCCTGTATGCTTCTCTTTCCCCTCCCCCTCTCCTCCCTCCTATCGGGGAGGGAGCTAACTTAACCCTGTGTGCGCCCCACGCTCCCCGGAGAAGCTGGAGTCGACTAGGAAACCGCGGGCGGTTCCGGGGGCGAGAGCTCTGTTCACGAGCGCGCTCCGCGCGGGCTGTCGCTGTCTAGGGCATTCGTGGGGCGAGACGCCAGGGCGGACTCCAGCGCCAGACTCCAGCCTGGGAAGGGTTTCATCCGGACCAGACCCAGCCCTCCTCCGAATCTGATATATATATATA